GATGACAGTCTTGTGGATGGGAGGTGGGAGACCGGGGAAAATGTCTGAGTTAATAATAAACCCTGGTTTCGCATCTTTCACAGGAAAATAATGTGTAAGAAAGTAATCGTTCTCTTTATTTCTAGACACTGTTGGCAACAATCATCAGAGATGGTATAGCTGTCACTTCCATATGGTACAAAGAGGTAGTAACTCCTTAATTTTTACATTCTTTTGTGGCTATTATGCTGCCTTCCAGATCTTAAATTATTGAAAATTTGTCCATGTTCCCTCCACTCACAGTGTGGCTGACTAGCAATCTCTTCTGCACTCCAGAGATAGGACAACAAAAATAGAGCCTCTCCCTCTTCTTTCAGCCACATGGGATGCCCAGAGCCTGGACTCAGAAAATCATCTTACTTTCCCTAGCTCTGTACCAAATTGTTCTGTCTCCTGCTCTTGTTCAAACACCAGCTACACTTTTTCTATCTCAAGTCAGGCTGCTACGTATCTGAGGTCATTTCTTCAGTTCATCCTTGTAGTTCCAATAGGTAATTAGCCAGTAAATGCTAAACACCTATTCTGTATCCAGAGCTGAGCTAGAAGCTACAAAGGACACACAAATATAGGACTTAATCCCTATCTTCAAAGAGGTTATCTCGTTGGAGAGACAAAATCACAGAAAGATGGTGCTAAAATATAATCTAGTCTTGCATGGGTGTCTCTAAGTGAGTTTTGGGGGTCTAGTACAAGAAACTCCTAGAACTGGTGCTAAAATTTTGAGCTTTTGTGTTGTGCTGGGGCAGGTATCTGTGTGTTTCATAAGATCCTCGAAGAGGACTATGAATGACCCCACCCCTCCATCACAAAAAGTTAACAATGACTTTGTGATTAGCTGGAGACTAGTTGGAGGACTGGTTATACAGTAGCTATTTCTCTTTACTGATATTTCTCATGGTCAATGGTAGTCTATCACACTAAGTAAAAAGTCAGCACCCAAAATAGATGGAATTCTATGATTTGGGTGTTTGACATTCTGTCTTGCCATTTAAGAGTGACATTTAAGAAACTGTTAATTAAAGCACTCAAGGCTCACTGTAACATTCATAGGCAACTGAAGTCTTATTATGCCTGGGAGAAAATTGGGAATGGTGCTGCCCCAATAATCTGAACTGTGCTTTGGAGCTGATCACTGTATCAGGGCACATCAACATTTTCTCCACCCTAATTGATGATGTTCTCTTACTTTGATATAGGTAGGGTGAGTTTGAAAACCCCTTTCATGTCCAATAACCCATTGATCCAGTGAAGTTGGCAAGGCAAGGATTATTGGCTTCACTTTATTAAAACAAAACAAAAAAACTGGATATTAAGTGTACACCCAGGTGTCAAGCCCACTTTTTTCTGACTACTGCTTTCTCTAGCATATCTTGCTGTCTTAATCAGGTTAGCATTTGAGGGTTAGCATTCATTCTAGGCAGATGAATTCAGTTGCAGTGTATACTGCTGATGAAAGCTGTTTTATTTGTAGGGCTTCTCCAGGGTAGCCCCATGTGCTAGTTTTGGACCTTCTTCAGGCTTCTGCTCAGTCAATAATACTATACCAACTCTGAAAAGCCCTCCTATGCATGGGCATTTCAAGTGCAAAGTCATAAATGGCAATTTTCATGGCTGGTCATCATCTCATATTGTGATCTTGGGAATCGGATTCTTGGTTTTCTAGATCAATGCCGTCCGGTGGAATATAATGTGAACTTCATATGTAATTTTTAATTTCCTTCTAGCCAAATAAAAAAAGTGAAAAGCAGGCAAAGTTTGTTTTAATAATCTATTTTATTTTAATTCAATATACCCAAAATATTATAATTTCAACATGCAATCAATATGCAAATTATTGAGATATTTTGCTTTTTTTGGTCCTAAGTCTTTGAAATTTAACATGTACTTTACACATACTTCACATCTCAGTTAGAAATAGCTATATCTTAAGTGCCTAAATAGCTTGTAGCTACTGTATTGGAAACTGAACATCTAGAAAATTCTTCCAGGAAAAAAAACACAGTGAAGAAAAAGCAGCCCCCTTTCCTCAACTGATAGTGGAGAATGAGTGGGCAGTGACCCTTTCATTCTGACATTCATCATTGTCATTCACCAATCATACATCATCATAGAGAATCTCTTTGCATCATAACAAAATTAGCAAAACTACTTTCTAGTGACCTAGTAGTTTCAGCACTTAAAAAATGTTGACTAGGACCATCCACACAAACAGGCAATCGAAATAGACTGTGATATGAGTGGGCCGCAAGGCTTGCATATTCAAAAAATATGTTCATTTAGCCTGCCATATGCCTGACACACCTTCCATTAAGACATTTTTTTTCTAACATTTTTTTCACACATCTACTAAAATGTGTAGATGGAAGACTAAGTCCTGCTGGGTCAGGAGAGGTAGGGAATACGAGCATGAATACGACATGGACTCTGCCTTCAGTGAAACTTGTGGTCTGGAAGGGAAGACTGGATAAAGCTGGTAGGGGACAAGTGTCCACTGTGTACAGGAGATGAAAATTGCCCAATTTAGCTCTCAAACCAAGTGTTCTTCAGAAAGCCCACGTTAAAACTCCATTGTGTTTCTGAGTTGGAAGCACATGAAATAATTACCCTTCACTCTCTACAAGTTATGTTTGCATAGACTGATTTGTTACATTTGCTTGAAAAGTAGAGCCAAAGACCCTTTGAAAATGGAACAGGCTGTTTTCATAGGGGAAAAGAAGAGACCAGGTAGATGAGAAAGATATGGACATTTGCTTGAAAAGTAGAGCCAAAGACCCTTTAAAAATGGAACAGGCTGTTTTCATAGGGGAAAAGAAGAGACCAGGTAGATGAGAAAGATATGGGCTCTTTTGTGTGGCAAGATGGGGGAGTTTCTCGCTGACGATGAGGCATAGCTTGAGGCATTAGGTACTAGACTGTAGTGCCAGGGACTAGGGATAGCGCTGAGGTGGCCCAAGAGTGAATATAATGAACACAATTTGTCTACTGCAGAGCTTTGCCTATTCCTGGACTGGCATTAGATGCTTACATGAGCAGGTACATACAATGCATGTTTACACTGGGAGGCAGTGGAGAGCAGTAGTTAAGGTCTAGCATTCGGGAGTCAGGCAGCCAGCCACCAGTGTGACTTTGGCGGAATAACTTAACCTTTCTATGCCTCGGTTTTCTTATAAGTAAAAAATGGTTCATTAATAGGATTTGATGAGATGATATACAAAGGGGGCTTAGAACAATGCCTGGCACATGGCATTTGCCCAGTAAATGTCAGTAATCATTATTAATTTTTGACATTAATTATTATGTCAGTAATAATTATTAGCTATGGAGCTTTCCTCATTTGTTTGTAAGGATTCACAAGCCTCTTGACTTTACAGGCAATCCTGATAGAAATTAGGTAAATTCTAATGAGTATTTCCCTCTCTAAGATCGCAAAACTGGGGCAAAGAGATGAAAATGACTTGCCCAAGGGTTCAGAGGCTGCTCCTAAAATGGGATAAAGGCCGTTTAAAGGTGTGGTGATGGATTTTCCCAAAGCCAAGGGGTTAGTACTTATTGGCTGGAATCCAGGCTGTACCACTTAACGCATCCTGGGAAGTTACCCGATTTCCCGAGCCCTCAAGTTTTGCACCTGCCAAACGGGGTAACAATATACCTAGAGTTGGTAAAACTCAATAGCATGATTCATGAAAAGTGCATGTTGTCTGGCCTCAGTAACATCAGCCTCCCCATTTACTATCGTTGTTATTACTAGTGTTATAGCAGATCTGCGGCGGCAGGCAGTGCCTGTCTGGGATGCTGTGTGATGCGTTTTGGCTCACCGCTATGACCAGCGCCTGGCACAATGCCTGGCACCCCGTCGATACTCAGGAAACGTTTGTGGAATGAATACACGTTATCTGAGGCAGGCAGAGCGGCTCTTCTGCTCCTTCGTAAAGCCAGAGCCCGAAGCCGCTTGCGCTACTCGGCGGCGCTGAAACCCACCTCTGCAGACGCCGGTGCCGGAGCTGCTGGAGGGCGCCCCGCCCGGACGCGCATCTCTGTGTTAGCGGCTCTCTCCGAAGCCCTTGTTTTCCTGGTTTGCGGTTTATTTACTTGGGTAGGCATTTACAGCTCCCGGGGGCAGAGCGGTGTTACAAGCAGGGTCAGGTCCGAGGTCGCGGTCTGTATTTATTTTTTGCCTCCCAGTCCCAGCGCTGCAAGTCACACACGGCTCCTTCCCTCTGCGCACCAACGAGGTTTGCGTTTCTCACCTCCTGCGGGGCGACACCGCAGCTCGGGTTCAGAAAAGTGCTCTCACGCGACTCGCCTGCGTCTCCGCTTGCGTGGACCGTTGCTCCCAGACTTAGTTTCCCGTGCAAACTCCGCAGGGCGGAGCAGATTAAGTAAAGACAACCTCGCGCCTTTAATCCTTGACCGCAAACACTGGCGTTTTTGTGCCCCGGATTTCTGAAATTCTTGGCTCGCGGAACCAAGGCGGGGGGAGGGTGGGGAACAGCTTGTAAAAACTTCCCGAAGGCGAAATCAGAGCTCGAAGCCTGCTTCCCGGGCCCCAGTGACACCTGGATTCCAGGGTAGAAGGGCAGCCGGAAGAAAAGGGTCCCCGGGGGTTGGAGGCGAGCCCCCCCCCACCCCAGGGGTGGCTTTGAGTCACAGGTTCAACCACGACCGACCCTCACCGGGGAGCCGGCTTTGCAGCCGGGACGCCCCCGGGCCGCCCCTCCCCCGTCCCCGCGCGCATCTATTTAGAGCCCAGCCAGGGGATTCTGGGAATTGTAGTCCCTCCCCTAACCCCAGGCGCCGCCGCGACCCGGGACTCGGACTACATTGCCCAGGGAGCTTCCTGGCCTATATAAGCTGTCAGGAGCCGCTTCAAAGTGCAGTAACTATGTGGATGTGCTGTTGAATCGTTTCCTCAGGCTTGCTGGGTGGGAGGAGAGAGGGAGGAGGTGGTGGTGGAGGAGGAGGAGGCTGTGGGTGGAGAGAGAGAAAGCGCACGCCGAGAGGAGGTGTGGGTGTTCCGCTTCCATCCTAACGGAACGAGCTCCCTCTTCGCGGACATGGGATTACCCAGCGGCTGCTGACCCTTCTCCTCGCCCTGCTCCCCAAACCGGCGTGGCTCCCCGGGCACCAAGGTAGCGACTTGGGGCCGGGCAGAGGGCGCGGGGAGTTGGCACTGACCCCCGGGCGCAGAAGTTTTTGCCCAGTTCTCAGGGAGTTCTTGATGGATTTGCATGCACTTGACTTGCAACTGGGGTTCTTTTACTGAGGGCATTTTTTTTTTTTTTGGTGGGGGGTGGTATTGCTCATTTAAGGTTTTAAGAAACCCAAACATCCTCGACTTCTGGCTTTGAGGGCTCCCTATTCTGGACTGGAACGGCATTCCCCCAAGTTGGAAACTGTTGCTGCAGCTGCAGGAAATGTTTTTTTTTTTTGAAGGGGGGATGTGGGGGTGTCATATGGGAGTCTGTTCAAGGAAACAGCCTTTCTAAAAATGTAGCCCTCTCTCGCGGTGCATGGTTGGGAGAATAATGCATGTGTGAGGGCCCCGGTGGGGAGGGTTTTGAAAAAAGGAAGCAGACACGGGGGAGCGGTGAGGGATGAAGTGTGGACGAAGCTCATGCCGGATGAGGATGTGGGGCTTCGGATCCTTGGCCTCCGCGCTGGGAAACAAGTGCTTTGGGATCTGCCAAACATTTCCCTTAGTTCCAGCCTCCAGCACATTTGAAGTTTGTGTGTGCCTAGTATCACTTGTCAGTTGCATACTGGAAATAAGAAAACGTAGTTACCTGTAACTACCAACCTGCCTGTAAAGTTTGGAGGGGGATCTTAAAGAAAGTGGAAACCTGGAATTTGGAGCATTTCTGTTAGCGTCCCACCTTCCGTGGTCTCATACTCAGTCTCCTTTCTTTCTAAATATTTAGGAGCTGACTGCAGAGGAACAGGATTCATACCCCTGGCTGGGCGTGTTTTGGCAACAAAGTGCCTGACCCGGATCAGGTGAGTGGAAGACAGTGTTGTAGTCAATAATGAGTTTGTATCCTAAGCCTGTTTTACTCCTAAGTCGTTTCTAAACAGCCATGGAGGTGGTAATAGGAAAGAAAAGGCCATGGCTCAGTCTTCACAATTTGTCACTGTCTTTGCTGAGGGCTGTAGGGAGCAGAGATCCAGTGGATAATCCTGCCTGGCACTTTTGGTTGTGGCTCAGAATTGAAGCAGCCTGAAGGTTTATGAGAGAAAAAAAAAAAGACATTAGATGGAACAGTAGGGTGGTCCATTGCTGGCTGTAGAAGCGTGCTGATGATTTAGATTCTAACAGATTCAGTGGTTTTATCTGCCAAGATATGTAAGCAAAAATTAACTGCCTTTCTCTTTCAAAAACAGTAACTTTCTTTTTTCTTACTGTAAACATGTGCTTAATCAGAGTAGGTTGGGTTGCAAGAAAAGAAAGTGGTTGCTGGCAAATTGAAAGAATTAGAACTTTAAAAAGGGAAGTTAGTTCTTGAAGCACAAGATAGTAGCGACCAGCTCATGACTGAAGCCACCTGAATGTCAAGGAATCCAACTGGTCCCTGTTGTTTTGGTGCTTATTATGGAATATGAGCTGAGGGCAGCGTTTATCTGTAAACACAACAGCTCCTATTTTTTTCCCCAAAATGGTCAGATTGCACTTCAGGAGAGGGAGGTTTCAACGGGTGCACGTACATCCCCATTGCTGTACATTTGGCCATCAAAATCTTTTTTTATTCTGAAATGGTCAGGAACGGGGTAAACCAAAGGGTAATGGGGGTGGGGTAGGGGTGGGTGGCCACGTCTTAGTAACTTCTTTAACCTTCTAAATATTTAGCTGTTCCCTGGGCTACAATCTTTGGGCTTTTCTAATTAGAAAATAAAAGTCAGACACTTCATTATAGTAGTATGGTACTTTTGTTTCCTGTTGATAAGATCCTCAGGAGTACTGGTGGGGTGAGAAGCATTTGGATGGATGTGTGAGGTCTAGTTTCTTCTTGGAGATCTTTTATCGACTCGCATGGCTGAGTGGGCACTCACAGGGCCGAGGATTGGGTCCAGTTCTCTCTTCAGAGTAAGCTGCAGACAAGGAGAAACTGGTCCACAGACTCCTCTCTAACTGGCTGCTAAAAATAATAAGACTGACACATTAAATACTTGTAAGTCCGATCCAGAGCCGTATATCTCAGAAATCCTGTAAGTCAGGTATAGGTGAAGAGACTGAGGTGCAGAGAGTGAAATTATTTGCTCTGAAGCTAGTACTAAGTGGAAGTAATGTATGACCCCCGGCAGAGGGGCTGTACCACATCTCCCAAAAGCACCTAAGCTGGTGGAGAGCAGGGAAGAAGTGGGGAGAGGGAAGCTAGGAAAAATGGTAAACTTACTGCTGTTGTTGAAGTAACTTTATGTCCCACCAATGATGAAATACGTAACCTTGAGGTAAGAAGGAAATGATGCAGCCACAAACATAGTGATAAAAGTGTAGATTTTGGGGAGGTGTTAGATATTGTATTGAGTTCATTTTGGAAAGCTGTCTGTTGAAAGCCTGATTGAGTAGTGTAAAAAGAGACAAAACAAAAACACAAGGAACATTGTCTGAGTTCAGCATTAGGCTCATCTCATGCCTGAAATACATCCTGATCATCTACATCAAGGCATGTGAGCAGGATGAAAGTATCAGTATTTCTCCTTATGAATAATTCGAGACTTTAAACTGCAGCTAGTCTGAACTGTGAAATATTGATATTTTTTCATACACTCTGCAGTTTGCTTTGTGGCCAGTTATGCAAAACATGGTTCTTTTTCGATTCTTTCTTTTGCGTGCGTTTGTGTGTGTATGTGCAGATGTGCGTTGAAAGTACAATCTGCTCTTTGAATATTTTCAATCAGAACAGAAAATCCTATCAAGATTTCCTTCTTATCCGGCAGGGAAAGTTCTTCGTGTCCTAAATAAATTACTCCACCCTCCACATAGAGACCCATGAAAGTCATTTGGAGTTGATAATGGTATTTCCATTTAAACAAAGTGCTTGCCTTTTGGAGGGAATTGGTATCTCTCTCCTTTAGAAATGAGAGATGGAATGGTTGCTTAGAAGAGAAGACATAGATGAACTCCACAAGATAGATCTGTTGTCCTTTTGCTCAAAATATTTTCAACTGAGGAAGACTTGTCAGGGAGTGGGTGGGTGGGGGGGAGAGAAAGAGAGAGAGAGAATGAGAAAGAAAAAAGGAAACCTCTAACCCAATGATATACAACCAATTGACTTCCAGAGAAAAAAATCACATTGATTTTTAGCTCATTTATAATCTCATGGAAACTGTCTGATTTCTTCACAAGCAGCTCTTAAAAAACAAACCAAAATGAAACAACAAACACCAAATAGGAACAACAGAAGAAACAACTAAAAGTAGGCCTGGAGTTGGGTTTTTAGGTCAAGCTGTCCTTGGATACATCTAATCAAGGAGTCCACACAAGGCCATGTCCCATCTTGTTTGCTATTAGTTTAATCTTTTAAAATCAAACACATTGCATTTGCAGGCTTGCTATTGACTAGTGCGTGCAGTTTTTTAGTTCATTTTTGCTGGCTTCAGTTTTATCACAGTTGAAATGCAATTAAGGCTTGAAGTCAGTGACATGAATGACATAACTTCTGTGATTACCTTCAGTTTTCATAGTGTCTGTGGTTCTGAGATTATTGCTAATGAGGATGAGTTGAATAAACTGCTGAAACCATATTGAATTTTGAGATTCCCTAAACTGGGTATAGTGTAAAGCATTTGGTATGATAAATCTATTTAACGAACTTTAATGCCTGTTAAAGTTGTTGTGATTCAAGTGATGTATTCTCTATTCAGCACATTTCTTGAGCACCTGCTATGTGCCAAGGTATGTTCTAGGTACTTGGGATACAGCAATGAACAAACAATCCTGTTCCCAAGAGGCTTAAATCCTAGTTGGGGGGAGGCAGCCAATATAAATGAGCAAGTAAGTATTATAGTATGGCAGGTAGTAAGTGAAAAATAAATCAGTGTTCGGGGGGGCAGGAAATGACAAGTGTTGGCAAGGATGTGAAGAAATTGGATCCCTTGTGTGTCACTGGTGGGAATGTAAAATGGTGCAGCTGCTGTGGGAAACAGTTTAGCAGTTCCTCCAAAAATTAAACATGGAATTACCATAGGATCCAGTGATTTCGTTTGTAGGTACATACCCCAAAGAATTGGAAACGGAGACTTGAGCAGATATTTGTACACCCATGTCGATGGAAGCATTATTCACAGTTACCAAAAGGTGGAAACAACCAGTGTCTGTTGACATATGAGTGGATAAACAAAATGTGGTATATGCACACAATGAAATATTAGCCTTAGAAAAGGAAGTAAATTCTGACATATACTACAACATGGATGAACTTTGGAGACATTATGCCATGTGAAATAAGCCGGATACAAAAGGACATATATTGTGTGATTCTGCTTGTATGAGCTACCTAGACTAGTCAAATTCATAGAGACAGAATGTAGAACGGTGGGTGCTGGGGGAAGGAGAAAGGGGCACTGGGAATTTGTTTAATGGGTGCAGAGTTTAAGTTTGGAAAGATGAAAAAGTTCTGGAATTGGATTGTGGTGCTGGTTGCATAGCAGTGTGAATGTACTTAATGCTCCTGAACTGAAACACTTAGAAATGGTAAATTTTATGTTACATGTATTTTACCACAGTAGAAAAAGAGAAACAACAATAACAAAACAGGGTAAGGGGGCTTAAGGAAGTACTCAGGTGGGATTGAGAATCAGGGAAGGGCTCTTTAATATGGTGACATTTGAGCTGAGATCTGAAGGGGGTGAGCGAGTTAACCAGATACCTGTCTGGGGGAGAGGGTGTTCCAGATGTCCAGAGCGGCACGTTCAAAGGCCCTGAGGTGGGAGCAGCTGTGACATGTTGGAGGAATGGCAGGAAGGCCAGTATGGCCACAGCTGAGGGAGATTGATAGGAGTTCAGGTGGGAGAGGGAGTCAGGGTCCAGTTGCATGGTGGCTAGATTTTGCAGGTCAGCAGTGATTTACCTGAGGATTTCTAAACTCTTACAGAATTCTCAGGATGGTTTTTCAGCATCTCTGAACTGCACCATCCTTTCTGAAGAGTCTCTGTTGAGGCTGGCAAGATCATATCCCAGATGGGAACTCGACAGGGGGTAAAACCCAGATTACTAGACTGTCTGGTTAATCACATGACTTACCTGGGATTGTAATTCACTTCAGTAGGAAAGCAGTCTTGTTTGATAAATACATAGGTAAACTACAGTTGATTTGGACAGCAGATTCTAAGAGCCTAATGATAATCCTGGGGGTTCAACACAAGCCTCCTTCTGTGCTCTACCACCACCCTGCGGTCTGCCTAGTCTCATTTTAAAGGAATTATGTGAGCAGAACTAATGCCAGGCTTTCCAGCATCCTTGGGGAACAAGAAGTTTCACATCATGATTTTCCCTGAAAAGTGAAGTGGACCCCTTCATGTGTGTAAATTTAAAACTAGCCTTGCATTTTGTTACTTAGTACTTAAGAAATGCATATTCGTTGTAATAAAATATTAGGAAATAAAGATAACCAACAAAATGAAAACAATCAATCCCATCATTCAAGATTAGGGTTCTGGGCCGGCCCAGTGGCGCACTGCTACAGTGCGCTGCTTGGGAGCGCCACGGCACTCCTGCCGAGGGTTCAGATCCCACATACAGACCGGCCGCTCACTGGCTGAGCAAGGTTGCGGGTGCAACACCGAGGGTTGTGATCCCGTTGCCGGCCCCGGTCCGGTCCGGGCGTGACACTGAGGGTTGCGATCCGTTGCAGGTCACGAAAAAAGACAAAAAGAAAAAAAAAAAAAAAAGATTAGGGTTCTATGCTTTTCCCCTGTGTATACATATGTAAAATTTACATGTGTATTTAAATTTTATAAAGAGGGAGTCATTGAGTACTTCCTGTCTGGTAACACCTTTT